TGCAACCTTAAATTCACCAAACCTCTATTGTATTGCAACGGTATTGCAACCTTAAATTCACCAAACCTCTATTGTATTGCAACCTTAAATTCACCAAACCTCTATTGTATTGCAACCTTAAATTCACTAAACCTCTATATTAATGCTAAATGTCAAGGCATACTATTTCCAATGACGATGTAACTGGAGCTGGAACTTCAAGTGATGGCTCTTCGTCCGGCAGGTGTTCCTCAGGTGAGCAGCGGGGCCCGGTCGCCATCCCACTGTAGTGAGCATAAGGAATGTAAAGTTAGGATGGCCCAAACATTCGTCTGGAAGCCACACTTAGTATACCTTATTTGCTTGGTCTTGAAGCATGTGTTGAAGCATGTGTATGTATACCTCAGTTTTGAATATTTTGATTATTTATGTGGTTGTAGTACTTAATTATTTGCTCAGGAAGATCATACTTTAGTTTGTTATTCTTTTGAGGAGTTTTTATATATGTATAAGTAATATTACACTAATTACTGAGAAAGTGATAAATCTATGTAAAATATAATAATTTACCCTATTAGTTTCTAGTTTTCTTTGGTGTATCCACTACATTTTCTTTGTTTTAAGGGTACTCTATTATATTTCACTAGCACTTTATTATATCCAGGTTGCATATTCTCATTTAGGAATAGTATTTATTATTTTTTACTTAAAATTGTATTGTTATGAAATTATGCATGTATGACTCAATAAGGAAGTAATACTTGCAATATGTGGGATCTGAGTAGAAGTCAGATTATTAAGTACTTACGACATTGCACAATGATATAATTACAATAACCACAAAGAGAGAGAACAGAAGTGAGTTTAAATATACAACAGGAATAAGATTAATATCTGGAAACATCCGGGCATGGCTGACGTAGCAGAGTGAATGGGTTTTGTTCTGTGCTCTGGTTAAGAAGGAGTCCTCTGAGAAGATGGAAGCCATGACGAGTGAGCAAGATTTCTTAGTAAAGGAAGAGAGAAGAAAGGACAAAGGAAGAGTGTATAAGGTTGAAATATGCTCAGTTGACGAGTGAAACATCATAGATGTATAGGAATGATTAACTTTGTGATAATTTATGATTGAATATATCAAGAAGTATTGTAATACAATTATTTGTTTGTTATTACCCCTTCCCTCAAGTACCTCAAGGGTTGAAATTTGATCATAGAAACTTTTGTGGCTTTGATGTTAACGTAGTACCCTCTCATGATGGCGTCAGAGTATTCCCAACATGTAGGAGGAGCAAAGTGGGCGCAACACCACTACTGCCCGAATGAGATGGAAGAAAAAGTAAACAAGGGTAGTGATGGTATAGTGGACCGCCTCTATCTGTCCCTAGCGGTTCCCTACGTGTCCCTTTCGCCCCCGTCTTTTTTTTAGATGAAGGATCATATTCACCCTCGCTCCACGGCGGAGGTCCCGTCTTCCTCCGTCTCCTGGATTGCGCACAACCACTGTGTTTATCCCGTGGGGGTGAGGATGCCATAGAAAACGGGAAGCACACCTGGAGGGACTCACCTGCGCGGCTCCCTTGTTTTTCCTTTTATTTTTCCGTTTTATTTTTTACTGTGTTTGTTATATTATTTTGATAAAAAAAAATTACGTTGTGTTTACAATGAGCCCCCTACGCCGAGAAGAAACTGGCCACCAAGAAAATGAATGATTAAATGAAACATTTTATGATTTCTACTATTTATATGAAATACCATGAAACTTTTATTTACTTTCTAATGAACATTTTATGAACTTTTATTTTTTATTATACATTTTACATCATGGTTCTTCTTCTCTCATTTTATTCTTTCTTATTTCATGGAACTTTTTTTTTAATCTATTTTATAAATGGAACTTTGACTATTTTTAATGAATATGGAAAAGCTATTTTAATGATTTTGGAAAAGTTAATTTTACACAAAGAGAACCAGGTTACAAGGGAAAGTTCCCGGCCCCGCGTACGAGTTCGAGGTAGAGTTCCAGAATTTAACAGGTGGATAAAAAAATGAAGGTACTTGGCAACAGCAATAATAATGATAATAATAATAATAATGATGACAATAACATTAATGATAATGAAAATAATATTATTAATAAGGAAAATAATATAATTAATAATGGAAATAATATTATCAAAAATGCAAATAATATTATTAATAATGAAAATGATAATGTTAATAATGATAATAATATTAATGACATTAATAATTGTTATTGGTATTATCATTATCAATAAAAAGTGATCATCAAAAATTATGATAAGAATTATTGATAACAGTAATTAATGAAAATAATAATGATAATAATAAGAATAAGATTACTAGTACTGATATCAACACTAATTCTACAACTAGCAGTAATACTAAAAAGTATAACAATAATGATGATAATGGTAAAAGGAATGACAATAGTAATGATGGTAATAATCATAATAATAATTATTATTATTGTTAGCATTATCATCATCACTATTATCATTATGATTACTACATTGTAAATTATAATGATAAAAACCATGATAATGATAAAGATTATAAAATAATATTAATAACAATGATGATATCAATAGAAATAAAATAATAAAAATAATGATAATAACAAAGATTATGATAATATTAATAACAATGATAATGATAAAAAAGAATAGTAATAATGATAATAATAATAATAACAATAACAATGATAATGACAATAATAATAATGATAATGATGAAAGTAGAAATGATAATGATAATAATAACTAATAGTAATGGCAATATTAGGGACTAGAATTACCAAGATAATAAAGATTATGATAATAGTAATAATGATGATAATGATAATAATGACAATCATAACTAATGATGATAATAATAATCATGATAACAATAATAACAGTGATTATGAAAATAACAGTAATAGTAATGATATTGATAATAATAAGAAGAACAGTGATAATATAACAACAATAATGATAATAATAGTATCAATAATGATAATCATAAATACAATAATAAGAATAGAAATAATGATAAAGATACTAATAGCATTATCAATATTGAGAATAACTAAAAACAATAAGGACGATAATGACAATGATAATAATAAAGAAATAAGAATAATAACAATGATAACTATAATAATAATAACAATGATGATAACAGTAATGATAAATACAGTAATGGTAATAATGATACTAATTATGATGATAATGATAAGAATAATGATGCTTATAATGATGATGATAATAATGATACTACTACTACTACTACTACTACTACTACTACTACTACTACTAATAATAATAATAATAAAATAATAATAGTAATAATAATAGTAATAGTAATAATAATAATGATAGTAATAATAACAATAATAGTAATGATGATAATTACAACGATAGCTGTAATAATAATAATAATAATAATGATGATAATAATAATTATAATAATGATCATGATAAATTATTTACAAAGATAATAATAATTCTGATAGAAATAATTATGCTGATAATGACAGTAATAAAAATTCCGATAATACCGATAACACTCTGAATAATGATAATGATGTTCATAATGATATCTTTAACACTAATGGTGATAATATAGATATACATCATATTCGTATTGTGCATCATCATCATAATGTTGAAATGTGATATACATGGCAACATAGAAATAGCGATGGCAGTATCAGCAACAACAACGATAATACAGATATACATCATCATCATGTTGGAATGTGATATCATGCATGGCAACATAAAAATGGCGATGGCAGTATCAGCAACAACGGCAGTATTGATTGCACTACGGAGAGAGGACTCCATTTTTCACTGCGTCATGTACCTTATATAACTTTAACGCTGGCATTCCCAGTCGATACTGACGCAGACTTTATTCAGCAACCACGCACTTTAATGCAGTTAACATTCCCGAGATAGACATAATACAGGGCGAGGTCTAACTTATGTGTTCCTTGTCTTCCAACAATGCCGTGGAAATAATGCTACGAGGAACTTTTACACATGCATGAAAAAGCTCATTTACAGTGCAGATAAAATGGTTTTGTTTTATTCAGTGCTGGGGACGTTGTACGTATTCTTATGCAGTTCTTAATTCAAGCTGAATATCATTGTATATTGGAATCATCGATCGTATATATTCAGAGTCGCGTGCATAAGTTTTGAAATCAATAGTCAAGGTTTAAATCAAGAGTCAATAATCCTTTTAAAGTTTAATAGACTAAAGTGCATATCCGTTTAAAAAGACATTTAATATATATTCAGTAACGGCACAGATGATACACACTGTCACTTTAATCAGATAATTTTAATCCAAATTCCGATAATAAATGAGTTTCAGATCGCAAGCAGCATGTCCGTGACAGGTAACGAGGCCATAAATATGCTTTGATTTGGAAATACACATGACAGGTGTGTGTAGTTGCTATATCGATTCGTTCCGGTTCAAGTATGCTGTTCAATGTCACTGAAGCTTATCCCGCGTGTGAGCTCAGTTCCTTACGTCACAGTTTCCGATAATCATTTATCATAGATGGCATGTAAATCTGGAAGATCTGAGATTTTTTTAATATCATTTGTTGATATGATTCGACTTCTGGGGTGGGGAGTTTTTCGTTCTGAGTTGATATCGCTGTAAAGAGGTTAATATATTTCAGCGTCGGTAATGGTGTATTATAGATCACATGACAAAGGCATGATTTCGCATGATGTGTAGCATATGCCGGCCGAGTAAATTACATACTTACTATGATGATACACATGTGATAATGAAAGGTAATTGAAATCTGATTTCTACTGGTATAGCACCACCATATATACAAAAGAATCAAATTATAACCAGTAGATTCCTCTTTTCTTCCCGAGATGCAGGGCCACGATCGATGGTGAAGGGTAAATCACATGGCCTGATGCAGCATGACGAATCGTACGACACTTCGGCATCGCGTACGACGTCTGCGAGGCCAATCCACGGCAAGTAATGGCACTGAGTTCTCTTCGGCCTTTAGTGCATGGGGAGCGTCTGAGGGAGGTTGACTCTGTGCACTCAGTTACTGTGTTTGCATATTAATCGACTTGCATTTATATCAATCATGGCAGGCGCGTTATTGAAGAAGGGCTTTGACCAACTGAGGAGCAAAGAGTTCAGGCAGTATTTAATGAGGTGAGATTTCCAATTTTTGATAAACTTACAACCGGGAGAAGAGGTGGGAGGTTGCCACGAGATAATTACTTGTTTTTTTTCTTCTTTACCTGCTCCCTGTTCCCAAGGAGCCACATCCCTCGGCAGTTATTGACAGAGTGTGATAGTATGTTACCTAGTAGCGTGCAAGAAATGATTGAATGGCATTGTAATTGAAAGAGAAAAAAAATGAGACAAGACTTCAAGGCCTGAGTTAATGGTGTTCATGCGAGTACATAATCATGACTGCATAATTAGGTGACGATCATAATTATCTGCAGGAGCCATGACCAGTATGTGGCTGTCTCAAAACAAGCACTTGAAAGGCACCACACTGTCACTGGGTTTGTGACTGCAACTGACTTTTAGTTATTTTTGATATCTGAATATTAAGTGAAACATCTGTTTTGTTATTAATTATTTTTCTTTGATAATATCGGCCTACCTCTTTATCATCTAAGGATTCTTTTCCAGTTATGTGGATATAATCTGTGGTTATGCTAGAAGGTGTCACCAGCCCACCCGCCCTACTCATGGGGTGTACTGTACACATACGCTTGTTCCAAAATCTCAGAATTACCCTCAAAAGGAGTAAACAGGGTGGGCTTTCACTCCGCTTTTCGACGGGCTTTTTAGTGTATCGACCCCCCTAAAAGAAGGGATGACACACCCCATGGACCCTCTTTTTAACATTTTATGTAGACGGGTTTAAAACTGCCCCTTAAAAAAATTCAGGGAGAGAGCAAGAAAAGGACCTCCTACCTTTAGAATTTCTAGGGGGAATTTTCCTCGAACTGAACTTAAAAAATAAATCCCTTTCCCAGGAAAGTCGAGAAGGTAGATGTGGTACAGTAGACCCCCAGGGTAGCGGGGCTGCAGTCACCAGTCATTATGAATATGGCTTATATACGAGAGAAAAAAAAGGGTGATTTTACACAATAGTTCCGTATAATGAATCATGATTTCTCTCTAGCATCCAAGTATAATGTATATGTTGTGCCGAAATTCCCCATACCCCTGGATTCTTGACCGTGATAGCAGGGGAGGGCATGAAGGGTACCAAGGAAGTTATGAAATTTGATTGCCTTTGTTGACAGTCATTAGGAACTTGGGTAATTATTTAGAATGCCTTCGCATGACAAATCATTACAATAGTGGTAGGCTATGATGGATTGCTCTCACATTCTACGATCTATATATGTAGCATTCCTGATATCAGGGGATGCCATAAAAGGCACCAGGGAAAAGATCTGAATAATATACACAAAATTTGTTACACAAATAAGTCACTATATTATGTAATGCAGGGGGCTGTTCCCCCTGCAAACCCCCTCCTTTGGTGCTGCTGTCCCCCAATCCCAACAATGGAAGACCAAGAATCCTCCATGTATTCACGGCAGAATAGAGAGTACGAATGACATGCAGGAGCACCCGATACCTAGTCTGTCCTGCACTCTGTCCTGTTGTATGTATGTGGTGGGTTCTATGTGGTCCAGGGTAGGGGTTGGGGCGCAGTTGTGGGCACAACCCCTTGCAGTTGACTCTATATTGACCACTTCTGTGTTTTATTCATATATTACCCCACAATTTCCTGGGTACCATTCAAACCTTCCCCTGATATTGGAGACAAAATTATGGGTATTGGAGGGATTTCTGTGACATAATTTCATAATTTCTATATACATGGGTAGTCGAGATTGAGAGATCCATCAATACCATTATCATCATGATTGGTCCTGTGACGGTATCCGATGTAGGTGATGATGTGTATCTTTTGCATTGCCAGATTAATGGCTTTTGTTTTTGCTTTGTTTCATCAAATTTGTTATAGTTGAGTGGATGATATTTGGTACCAATCCCATTTAATGTTTTTCATCATAAAAATTAGTTTGATTATACCATATCTGTAATGTTATGGTAATTCTTCTGTACACACCTCTACATCCACCATTGTGTGATGTCCAGCCTCTGTGTCCATCAATGCACCAACAATAGCCAACAAACTCCTACATATATTCTAATAAAACAAAGTTTAGTAATTTAATGTCAAATAAGAAACCAAACTAAGCACAGCCTTCACAGAATATATGTGGTGGAGGTTTGTTGGCCTTTCCTGAAATGCAAAATAGGTGTCATTCTCTTCACGTGGTGCCACTATCAGGAGGCTGATTATAGTTGTCTGTACAAGAAATAATCTTCATACACACACACAAAAAAAAAGATAGCAGAAAGCACTGTTCACAGCCTAAATCTACTTGGTACACCAGAATTTAAGTGCTATCTTGCTGTGCATACAGACTTTAAGACCATATTTGCCAGGGGTTTTGGGGGGCAGAGACCCCCATCAACCCTCTCCTTGGGCAATAATACCCAGTCACAGCAACATGAAATGTTGAGCATCACAGATCTCGGCAACTTTTGGAATGAAGGAATCCAGTATATTTGTCAGAAAACTTTATTTCTAAGATTTACAATATTTTCTTATTTGACTAATGTTAGCTAGTTCACCACCCCAAAAATTACATATTGCAAGATTTCTTTCTGTCTCACCCACTTAAAACCTACAACCATCATCCTTCTATTGATAGCAAGCCTGGGGCCTTATTAGTTCAGAAATTGCATTTTCTTTTGCTATTACATTTCATTTGTTTTTTTCTCTTTTCTTCCTGCAAACCATTGTAATTATTTAACTTCAAAACATGGAGAAGACTTCAAAGTTTACTCTGTTCAGAATCAAAGGAAGATTTAATATTATATGTAGTGTCTCCCTTTTTTCTGATGCTTTAGTTCTTTTAGCGAATGGTGTCTAATAGCTGACTATAGCCAATTTTGGGTCAGTCTTTGTAATTGTTTCACTAGGTTTAGCTATAAATCCTATTAAAACATTATATTTTACTAGGTTTAGCTATAAATCCTATTGCTTATCTATGGTGATTCAGATGGGTGTGAAAAATACTGTTATGAGAGAGATCACATAGATCTCAATTGTTCAGATAAAGATCTCGCTCTAAATATCATAAATTGCTGCATACTCTCAAACATTGCTGTTTTATAGTCTTTAATTACTATTTAAAAATTTATATATTAAAAATTTATTTACTATAAAAACCCATTTTGCTTTGCTATTTTCACCTGTGTATTTGAGACAGTGTAACATGATTGCTTAAGTATGATGCCAAGGTTTTAGTTAATTTTTGTAATTGCTGTCCACCCAAAAAAGATTAATTATCTAATGATTCTTAGTGTTGAAATGTTTGAAATCTTACTCACCAGGATGCTGAGATTTCATTCCTTTGCTGACAGATTGTAAATGGCATTGTAAGAGAAGAGATAGCTGATGCTGCTGGGGTATAACATCATGCTAATCTGTTTCTTTCATGATATCACCACACCCTTAGTTTTAAAAAATTGTTGATCCTTTAGGAACATCAAACTATTCTTTGGCCTCATGTTTCTTTCCTGATTAGTGGCAGAATTAAAGAAAGTAGATAAAATACATTGTAACTTCAGTATATGTCATTGCTTGATAAGTGTCCACTAATTACTGCTGATTTTAAGTTATGAATAAGAAAATGCCTTCTGTTCTTATTGAATGGAAAAATGGGCAAGATAACACCATGAGAAGCTAAGATTAAGTGACTGTGATGTCCAGGTAGCATCACTAGGGAGCAGATGTTGTAAGGTTTGCATTGTGATTGAACATCTGAAAGTTCAGGGTCACGTGGAGGATGGTATTTGGTGGATGTGGTATGGTGGATATTGATTGTTTGCGTGTTTCTTTGTTCAGATGCATGCCCTACACTTAGTCCTTTATTTGTATGTTGTTTAGAAGTGGGCGTCCTTGCTTTTTTTTTATTTTGCGCAAAGCATGGGATTACATTGATGTCTTTATTATGTTGTTGGGCACCTCTGTTATGTAAGCATTCTTAGTTTTATTATTATTGTTATTGCTATCATCAGCATCATAAGTATCATCATTATCATTTTGACTATAGTGCTGTTGATGATGATGATGATAAAAACAAAAACAATAATGATTATGATTATAATTATAGAATAATGATGATAATATTGATATAAATAATGATAGTATTAATGTTAATGATATTAATGATAATGATATTGATAATAGTAATGATAATGATGATGATAATGATAATGATAAAAATTATAATGTGATAATGATAATGATAATGTAATAATGATAATGATAATGATAACTGTGATAATGATAATTATTGTTATTATCAGCATCATCATTGTTAGTGTATATTTTCATTTACATCACTTTCATTTTTTTCTTTACACTATTAAACTGCAACACATTATCATTATTGAAATCATCATCATCATCACCATCATCATCATCATCATCATCATCATCATTATCATTATTATTATTATTATTATTATTATTATTATTATTATTTATTATTATTATTATTATTATTATTATTATTATTATTATTATTATTATTATTATTATTATTATTATTATTATTATTATTATTATTATTATTATTATTATTATTATTATTATTATTATTATTACTATTACTATTATTATTAATTTTGTTAGTGTTATTATTATTTATTATTATTGTTGTTGTTGTTGTTGTTGTTTTTGTTGTTATGATTATTATTGTTATAATTGTTATTATGATTATTATTATTTTGTTGTTGTTATAATGATAATGATAATAATAATTGTATTATTATTATTATTATTATTATTATTATTATTATTATTATTATTGTTATAATTATTTTGATAATGATGACAATATTAACAATAGTACTAATAATGATAATTATTATTGTTATTGTAATAATCATTATGTTTTATTGTTATTGTTTTTCTTTTTATTAGCATTGTCATCATTGTTATTATTGTTATCATCATCATCATCATCATCATCATCATCATCATCATCATCATCATCATCATCATCATCATCATCATCATCATCATCATCATCATCATCATCATCATCATCAATCATCATCATCAATCATCAATCATCAATCATCAATAATAATCATCAATAATAATCATCATCATCATCATCATCATCATCATCATCATCATCATCATCATCATCATCATCATCATCATCATCATCATCATCATCATCATCATCATCATCATCATCATCATCATCATCAATAATCATGATGAATATTATCAGTAATATGAATATTGCAGTTTCCATTGTTATTATTCTCAATGTTAGTGTTGTAATTAATGATTTGATTATATAATAGACATAATTATTGTTGTTTTCATCATTAATCATCATTATTGTTTTTTATGATGATAATTATGATTATAATAATCATATTGGTGATGATGTTATTATTGTAGGTCTTGTGTTTTGTTTTTTAATTGGTTTTATGTTTATTATGATAATAGATAGTATTGTCTTTATTCCTGTTTTGATATAATTAGTCTCAACTACACCACATTTCCTTTGCTTTTTGTTATTAATTTTGCTTTATTATTATTATTACTTATTCATTTATTTATTTATGTTCGAGAATGGTTTACTTGTTTTAAGGTATTGTAAAACTAAGAAATTAAAGTGATGCCTGTCATTGGAAAATAAGTAAACATATATTAAATGATAGTATATATAAATAATGGTATATATCTGGAGTAATACAAGGCTTAATATAGAAAGTAGTGTGTATTGTAGAAAATTAAATAATATGATAATGATATTAATAATACCAATAATTGAGTATATGAATGATTTAATAATACGAGTACTTGGTCATATAAATGATTTAAGAAAACTTTTCACTGATATGCATGTATAGACAGCACAAGTAGACCTAATGTAAAAGGCAACAGACATGCCCTAACAGTAGAAGTGAATAGGTTATTACGGTAAACCTCGTCTTTATTTGTAAGACATGTTTATTCCATTGATTTCTTCATTTATTGTACCATATTGCAACCCAGTTTGGTGGTTGGAAAGGGCTACGATGCACCCTGGCTGTTAGGCAGTGTGCTACAGGCTAGTAAGTGTTGTAGTTTTCCGTGTTTTCCATTTTCTTTGTGGAATTTTGCACTGTAGTCTGTCATTATACATACGCTTTTTGGTGTCTTCCGTACATATTATTATATTTGTTTTGTTTCATTTACTTTGCAGTTAGAGAATACTGTATTGGATGCATCTTTTGGAAGTGCTGATATTAATGCCAGATTCTAGTTATGTCAGCATGTGTACGTTTTGTATTTCTAGTGAATTGTGGCCTGATATTTATTTCTTCACAGTTATGTTTTTGCAACATTTAAGTGGACACATTCTGGCAATATGTATATTCCTTGTATCTCACTTTAAAAGTGCATTTTTTCTTTCTTTCTTACTTTTTTCTTTCCTTTTTTTTCCCAGAGTACTTTGTCTGCTTTTCACATCATTGCCTTGATTATTCTGAGTTGATTGTAGATAGATTTTTTTTTTTTTTTATGTAGTACAGCAAAACAAAGTTTTAAGAATGTTAACAACTTACATTTAACATATACTCAGTCTTGTGTTGCAACCAAGGGTGTTAGAGTGGCCTGACTGATTAAACCAAAATCTATCTTTCCTTATAGATTTTTATTTATTTATTTATTTATTTATTTATTATTTTTTTTAATTATAGCCTTTCAGTTGTCATTTTGACTGATATCAGCAGATAGTAGATGGGTGATAAACAGTTTTGTATAAATCTCAGTTTCCATGTTTTATGTATGCAATTATATACTTGTACCATCGTTAAAGTGTAATATTACTAACACAGAACTATAGATTTGAACTTTTCTCCTGCGTCTGGCAGACAAAAATAGTCCTACCAGTATTAGATTAAGGAGTTGATGCCAAGCCAAGGCATAGTTGAAGTTGCATTGGAGAATGGACAGTTGGAAAAGGGACAATGTTATTTCTGTATAGGGATTGTTCCAAAACCAAATCAGTGTTGATTTAGCTGCAGGCATAGTTCATAGTCAACATGATGAAACAAACTTGCATGTCTTCACTCATTACAATGTTATTCTGATTAAAATCTATGTTACATAGATGATCTGTATATTATTGTGAACCTGCTAATCTTTGAACATTGTTTATTGTATCATTGAATGAGCAGAATATGAGAAATTTTTGATGGTAATAATACTAAAAACCTGACTACCCAAAAATAGAAAATTACTTCATCAATCAGAAATGGTTCTTTGGCAAAGGGTGTGACTTCCACCATGATAAGATATTAGCACACAGCACTTTATTTGAAATATCAAAGATTAGTGATAGGTACGGTGACCTGAATGTCATGGAAAAAGGAAGGTAAAACTGTTAGTCATGGATAGTTGGAAAAGGTAATGAGAGAGATAAAAAGAGAACAGAAAAGGCTCCCACAGAGAAGGAGCACAGATTGTATCAATGTGTAAATTTCAGGTACTGTTTAAAGGGGTGGCCAAGTTTGTTAATGCTGCTCGTCTTGTGTGTGGTTGTTTAGGTGTGGAAGGTCTTATTAAGAGGTAGTTCAGTAAACTCCGAACATATTTTCATGAAGATTTAGTAATATGGACAGGCTTTTTTTCCCCTCATTATTTCACTATGGTTATATGAAGAAAAAGCTTGTAGTTATGACATTATTTTGTAAGATTAGAAAAGCTCTTAGTTAGACATTAGGGTTTTTACTTTCTTTTACAGCACTCACTTTTGGACCAGTTGGGGATTCCTATAGCTGCCATTGCGGACACAAAAAAGCCTCCAGAGATTATTAGTGGAAAGATGACCATTGGTAAGTTGTTTGATACATTTCCTGCATGTTTCTACTTCTTTTTTATTCATCTCATTACCCATATTTTTATACTGTAATGTTCCCCAGTTTTTAAAATCTCTGATCTATTACTTTTCTCATATTATCTATCTTCGTTTTTCTTGTGGGTGATATTCCCCCTCCTCCTCCCCCTCTTCCTCCTCCTTTATATATTCTTTCTATTCCTCTTTTTTTCTTTTCCTTCTCCTTTGGTTCTTATCCTCCTCTCTCCTGTCCCTCCTCCTCCCCGCCCCGCCCTGCCCCGCCTGCCCCTACTCTCCCCAACCCTCCCCTTTTCTCCTTTCCTCTCCTCACCTCTCTTCATCTCTATGATTTCTTTCCTCACCCCTACAATCTCTTCATCTCTCCACCTCTCCTCTCCCTCTCCTCTCCTCTCCTCTCCTCTCCTCCTCTCCTCTCCTCTCCTCTCCTCTCTCTCCTCTCTCTCTCTCCTCTCCTCTCCTCTCCTCTCCTCCTCTCCTCCTCTCCTCTCCTCTCCTCTCCTCTCCTCTCCTCTCTCTCCTCTCCTCTCTCTCCTCTCCTCCTCCTCTCCTCTCTCCCCCCCCTCCCCCCTCCTATCCCCTCCTCTCACCTTTTCTTTCTTTGTCTGAATCCAATTCTGTTCCTCTCCTCCCACAGGACTTCTACAACTACTATGTTGCAATATTTGTTTTGTTTTGCCACAGCATTTCATTGCAGATCTATAAGATATATGTATGGATTCAAATTGCAGAATGTTTACCCTTAAAGTAATACAAGATGATTTTGATGCACAAACTCATAAGAGTTGTAATGATATAGAAAGTAAAAGGATGGCAGTTGATAATGAAGATAATAATACTTAGTATACATTTTATTTAAGATTGTGATGATAAACTACAAACAGATGCACCATATGAGATAACATTAAAGAAATGAACATACAAATACTAGTGAATGAAAAGAAAATGATACTACCAGTGGTTATAGAAAGATGCTATAGATGATATTGGTATCAAAGTTATGGAGGAAAAGTTAGTATATTGTTTTTTACTTTGTTCCCTTTGTTTTACAGCCAGCTTATCTAGTGATATTTTTATCTAGTGTATTTAAGGTAAAGTCAGTGTTGGTTGACGTAATGGCCCAGTAAACAGTGTGTGCTGATCAATCCTTGTAGATTTCTCAATTTTTCATAGTGAAAGGAAACTCATAATTCAGTAGTATAGTAATGACAGATAAAGATAAATATAAAGAAAATACCCATATTGATGGGGCTAAGTGGACATATGATTAGGAAGTTAGTACACTGGATTATAAATGCAACATTGTGTACACAATTACTCATGTATACATAAGTTTCAGCCCTTCCACAATATACTTGTGATTTTTAACCTAAACAAATGCAGACATCAACATTAATATACAACTATGTATTCACACTCGTACTTCAGCACTCCTATTCACTCATGATATCCTGTTCATGCACTTGCACATAAACACTCCCATTCCCATACCTATTTGACTGCACCCTCACAGACACACCCATTGACTTTCCCCTACACAAACAGTATAGGTTATACATTTTAGTTTTTATAACTGAAGACTGAAAATGATATGTTTCTGTTAGCTGATTTTGTTTCATATATAAAGGTAAAGTCATGAGGGAAATTGTATTCAGAGTGGAGTGAAGTTGTAGAGTAATTTATGAGAAATCATGGTAAAAATTTGGGCAACCTTGGTACCTTTAATTGATAGTAAAGTACTGTAGCAAGGATCATAGATAGTCTGGTAGTAGCACCTAAAAAGATTCCTCTTGACTCCTGTGTTTAAAGGGAATGCCTTGCCATTTGTCAGTGGAAGAGGCAGGAAAGGAAGCCATGCCATTGTTAGGATGTTGTCTCTAATATAAGTAGTAAAGGATGTGGAAGTGTTTAATTAAGCTTCCCTTAGATGGACCATGCAAACTTGCAGTTTGTTTGTATGTTTCATATTCTTGGATAAATGTATGCTTCATGTATTTATTGGGTTAGATTTGAAAATTTGAAAGCTTTTAATTAATTACTGTAATTGATGTACTGGTTATTGCAAGCTTCTCTTTTCATATTGCTTACTGTAATTATGATTGGATATCTGAGACAATCATAATAATTGCAAGTGTATTTTGTTCTTTGTTAACAGATGTACTTGAAAGTAGATAATTTAGTGTGTAATATAGTAGAGATTGATTGTATACAACAGAAAAAAGGTATGAAGACAATCGAAATTAACAATATAGACATTAATGAATTATTACAAAGTTTAAAGTTGAAAAGCATAACTGGAAGAGTATTCTGGTTAAAAGCTAGGTTTTCGATATTAATTATTACATCAAAATATGATTTGAAATGAAGAAAAGGTATAATTACTTTGATAGTGACAATTTTAAAGGTAAAGCAGTGCATTGAATAAACTAATTATGACTTGAGAAATCAAAAATGCCCCATGTATTACAGAAATTTTCCATGTTATTTTGTAAAATATTTAGATGGAGTAAGTAGCTTGTTTCATAATGTCATTTCTTTTTTGCCAGCTCTTTGCTTCTATTCGGCAATTTTTATGAGATTTGCCATCAAAGTGCAGCCAAGAAATCTGTTGCTCTTCAGTTGCCACCTCACAAATGAAACGGCTCAAATTATACAGGTGAGAAAAACCCTTGCCTTTGTGTACAAATTTGTGCATATTAGGAAAAGGTAATTGTTGTAGTGGGAAATCATGTGTGCGTATTTGTTTTGAAATGTTTTCTTATTTCATATATTCTGTAAAGGACTAAGAATAGAAGATTTGAAAATTTTTGAGTATTTTTTTTTGTTGGTGGTGCAAGTATAGGATTCAAGTAAAGATTAATTTCCTTTTTTAATCATGTCCAAGTTATATATTTAGCTTTTGTATTAATTTTGTAATTCTGCTGTGACACTTTAAAGGTAGCATCTTACTCAAGTGGTTAATTGCATCATTTTTTCTGCCAATAAGAAGTTAACCAAATACCATTTCTATCTTTCTAGGGTTGTCGATTGATAAATTACGAGTATTTTGGAGGCAAAGAGGCCAAGGAGAAAGAGGAAGCAGCATCTGCAACAGCTGCTAGTGCCTAGCTCATTTCCTTTTTTATTGCTAAGAAAATCTGGCTTTATATATTTTTCCCCTTTTAACTGGATTTTGGGTGTAAATTATTATTATGTGAAGGTTCAGCCTTGTGTAAATAGAATGGATATCTACCTGATTAAATGTTGAAATAGTATTTTCTCCAGTGCAAATACCCAGACCAAAATTCTTAGGTCTGTCAGTTATTAGCTCTTCCTCTAATTATTGGGATAGAAATCCTCAAACTGCAATAACCGTTGTGGTGAAAAAACTATATCAAAGTTTGTCATGTGGAATTGTATCCTGCCTTGAAATTCTAAAACCTGTTTAGAGAAATGTAAGTGATTTTGGGAACTATACATGAAAATAATGATAATGTAATAAATATATATATATATATATACATATAAAAAGGGCATGGTTTATCCAGTGGTATTTTGTTTTTGTAAGAATACCAGACAGTTCAAGGTTAATTGAAGCAACCTAATAGAGGTACACATGTACACAAACTGGAGATAATATATTAACAAATGAAATACTAACTGGGAGTTACTAAGTCCATGTGTAATTAAATGAAAACAAAGGTTGTCCTATAGTATACATTTAGTAAATGCACTTAAATGAAATGTAATTAAATCACAGAAGATATAAACGTGATGTATATGTACTGAAAATGTAACACTTGTTGTAATACATTAATTCCTGATAGTCTTCTAGGGTTTTAGTTTTCTTATACTAATACCATTCAAGTTTAAAACTAAAATAGTCATGGTGCAATGAATCCAGGCTGTACTGTCTCTGTGCAGCTATTGCTTAACACTCTATTGTACTGCACTGATATAAATGGATTAACATTGTTGATGAACATTGGGGCAACAGTGTTCACAGTGATGTCACTCCTGCCATAACTGTTTTAGCTGTACAGACTTTTACTGTGTTTAGATTAAGTGGCCGTCGTGCTCAAAAAAGTGAAGAAGACAGCTTTTACTGTGTCACAGAAAGCGCCTCTCCATCAGACTACCTAATCATATTTGTACGTGATGGTGTCCAGTGCTCTGTACATATCTGAGTATCTATTGAGTGCTAGTAATATTGCCTATGAATGAAATAATTCTTTATCATAGAAAATGGTGTATACTTAAATTTTGTGTAAAACTTTAGTAGACCTTAATATTCATTTTATTCAATTTCTTACACTAATTGTTTATCCTTAGGGAAGGATACACTTTATTTATTTTTATGATTTTAAATAGTATGCATATTTTGTGCATTTCCAGCACACTGAAATATTGATTGTGAATATGGAATTCAATCTTAATTACATGCAGAACAGGTATCTATAGATAATGTCTTTCAAGAATATCCGTATTGTTGGGTATTACAGTTGTTATTGTACATGTTAAAATAAAACTTAGATTTTGTATTTTGTTTCCTCTGGTTCCATAACATATAGGAAAATAATATATATATTTTTTAGATATTTTGATGTATGAAAGTTTTAATTTTGACTTTTTCCTGCAGCTCTCAAGTTTGCAGTACTTTCTTTAATTAAAAGTAATTCTGAACATCAAATGCTCTAGAAATATGACTTACAAACATACACTTACAAGTTTTACCATATAATTTGATAGAAAAGGAAGAATTTCTTTACAGGAGAATACTTAAGAAGGAAGGCATTTAATCTGATGATACTTATAAGATATAAAGCAAACAGAATCAGGTAACTGGTTATCTTCATTGCATATTAACATTTATTATAAAATTACCTTTTATTGTTCTATCATCCTGGTATATATATACCTTTTGAAATTATGAGGACTAAAGACAAAAATACCCCCACAAACAAAAGATTGTAATCTCTACAGCCTTATGCTTAAAGACAATGTAAACTTCATAAACAGACTTGACAAACTCCATATTTGTGCAATACTCAACAGTTGAAATCACATTTCAACTAAAGTAAACATACCTTGGTAGGTTGTAGTATTACATGGGATATGCATTTTTTGGATTAGCATAATTTCTCTCTGGAAAGTTTAAAGAAGCCAAGCTCTGTGCTACTTGTGCATCTCAGTTTACAATCAAAAGGTTTGTAGAAGTGGAAGTTTTAGGAGGAGGAGAGCGGGAGGAAGATCGGGTGGTGCGGAGTGAGGTAGTTCTGTGGGGAGGAGGACAATACAAATGAATAATAGTAATAAGGGGGGGAAGGGGTAGAAAATGAAGAAGACTGTGCAGTAGGAGATGGAATTGAGAATATTGGGGGAGAGGAAGGGGTGCATTCTGAAGATTGAGTAATGACCTGGGTGGGTGGATCGAAATGGATAAAGTTGTCAGTAAACAACATGAAGAGAATATAAAGGTGCTGTCACACTAGCACTTTTTCCATCAATTTTTTGACAATTTTCGGGAAATGTGTCCATTTTTGAGCGAATTGTCGATTTTCCAGTCAGACGATAATGATTGTTTCCGTCTGAAAACCTTTCCGCAACTTTTTCAGCCAGGCATACTCAAATCAAGTTATATTCGAGAATGTTTGTACTGATGTTAAATAAAATTGTCAAAAAATTGATGGAAAAGGTGCTAGTGTGACAGCACCTTAAGTACTAGCAGTCATAGCCATGGTCCCCATAAAGGGTAAGGGTTAGGTGATTAACAAAGGAAATACTGTGCCCGTGGCTCCCAGAGGCCTTTCATGATGAACCCAAACTTTCATCCTTTCAGCACAACCCTCACACCTTAGAAGTGGACAAAAGAAGGGGATGAAGAAATGAAGAAAAGGGGAAAGGGGAAAAGGAATGACCATGCAATAGTTGATGTGAGGGCTGAGGTCCAAGGTAGGGGTGATCCCTACATTGGGTGTCTTGATCTCCTAAGCCCCCCCATGACAACAATGACTATGGGATTGGAGGGTCTCATTAGTGGAGGTAAACATCTTCAAGAGCTCTTGTGCCAGCTCTCTCTGGACAACCATTAAATTCATTACATCTCTGAGTGCTTTTTACACCATAAAGATATTGACATCTACCATGTCCAGGTAGTTCTTATAAGCAGCTGGGTAAAAAATGAATCAAAATGCAGTAATAAGAAGGTAGCTTGTGTATAAACATGTCCATGAGTTTGATGAAAGGATGGCTAAAGGCATACGTTTACCATTTAGGTAGAGAGTGTTGATCCCAGATGGCCAGAGAATGCATAGGATTTTCTGGTTCCCTTCTTTATAATCATAATGATAATGATAGTATCATTATACTATCATTATCATTATCTACTTATGATCTAAATACACGTTGATTAAAGAATGTACAATATATGCACTTCTCCTTGCTTGCATGGAATCTAACAACATGCTGGCAGGGCTGCAGCATGACATATATTACATGACATAATACCACCCTGAGACACAACCACTAAGGCATATATGTGTGCCTTGCCACTTGGAGATATCAGGTCAACCCAAGGAGTATGAGGCACAGCTTATGGCAGGGAGCATCAAAATAAAAGCTATAGGTCATGCTGTGCTAGTCTGTTTCTCACCGTATGATACAGTGGGCTCAAAAAGAGTAAGTGTAGTTTATTATTCATTCGCCAAAAAAGGTAACTAAAACAAAGATGAAGCTGGTGCCTGTCCATTTTATATACAATTTGTATAAATATATAAAGATCTTAATCCTTTATCTTAACTTTTTCTTTTATATATGTCAGATTAAACATTACCCAACATAAAATACAAAAACATTATGAAATCTTTGCTTTTCCAAAGTAAAAAGCACAAGTAAGGAGTACCATTACTCATAATATCATTATCAATATCACTATTGTATTATGCATTGTTTGTGGAAACCTAAATCTGCGAAAACTTATAATAATAATGATGTTAAGAGTCAAACGAAACAACACAAACTGGATATCTAACAGGGCTATTAATAAAAGACTAAAGAAAGCCTACTTTTTCAGAGAACATGAATGACATATCCTTTCTGTTAATGACCAATTCCTTTAAGAGTAACATTATAATTATTTGGATTATCAATGACATAACACACTACATTTCTTATTCAATGAAAAATACATTAAAGTACATATAGGCAAAATTCATCAGCAAGAAAAAAGTTCATAGGAATGCTTAAGTAAATATGAATGTGGAAAAATTATACACACATGTATTTATATATGTATATACATGTATATATGTATGTATGTATGTATGTATGTATATATATATATATATATATATATATATATATATATATATATATATATATATATATATGTATATACATGTATATATGTATGTATGTATATGTATATATATATATATATATATATATATTATATATATATATATATATATATATATATATATATATATATATATATATATATATATTATATATATATATGCATAAATGTGTGTGTGTGTGTGTTTGGCAACTCATCCTGAGTACTAGAGTCCCTTGATTCACAAAATCACTTCAGAGGAAAAAATATATTGATTGTACCTAAATTTAGTTAAAAAAAGATAATAATAACAAATAAATAAAAAATAAATAGTCTATATAATCTTTAAAAATCCACGCTTACACAAACAAAAATATTATGATTCTGGTGATTAGAATAGAGAAGCAACTAGGCCAACTTTTTCTTTCCTGAGATTGAACCTACAATAAGCCTAGTCCACAAGTCTGAGTGACTGGTAAGCTTACATAAAGTTTTACATGAATTAAATTGCAGCTTTCAATTAGTGTATTCACACTCAGTCATGTGTGAGTCATGTGTATCTATTTAGACTGAAATATATAAGCACAAGTTATTACAGGCAATGAGTTATCATACAATGGACCACAGTCTTACCATACTATCCACACATAATGAGAGAGAGCAGAGTACCTCAGGGCTGTGGAAAATGGGGAAGGTAAGAAAAGGAGAATGCAGAGAGAGGGTTATGAGAACAAAATATCATGGGTCATAATGATGAATAACTGCCTCCATGAAAATTACACTGGAGATAATCTTTTACAAGATAAATGGTGACTGACAATCGTACGTAAAAGACGTTAGTAGGCATATGTAATTTTTGTCAAGGTAAAGGAACTGAGAAAGTAACAAAAGCAAGAGAAAAAAAAGCCATTGCTAGTCAGCCCTTCATTCCGCATTAAAAACTCAGTGAAGGAAAGAAATTTAGTACATATACACAGTATGATTTGTCTATCAATTAGTAGATCAACTGAGATAGAGAAAGGGAAGATAGGAGGGACAGGAGGGAGAGAGAAAGGGGAGAGACGAGCAGGACTGGAGAGGGAGAGGGAGAGGAAGAGAAACGGAAAGGGAGAGAGGAGAGGAGAGGAGGGGAAGAGGGGGGGGAGAAACTAGAAGAAACTAGAAGAGGATTTTCACTTTCAGAAAATAATCTAAATCTGGCAAAGGATATAAACATTCACATAGACACCCATGTACATACATACAGTTTTCCTGTGAATATTGATTTTCATCATAACCAGATATGCCTTTTGTGAAAATGGTAAAGATAAAAGCTAGTGTAAATACATATAAATATTTATTCAAACTTCTCGAAACACAGAATTCAATGAGCAAATTGGGAAACCAATACTAAAATACGAACTAACTATGAAAAACATCAATGCATTCATCTCCATCCAAATCTAAGTTATCTGGTGTGTCACTGGGATCTAACTTCTCGCCGTCAAAGTGGAACCTTAGAGTACTAACATCGACTTTCTTTTCTTTTGCGTATTTTTCCATTAACACTTGCATTTTATCGTATCGATTTATGTATATGTGAACATGTCCCTTTTTCTCAGCATTCTGGACTTTAAGCCTAATGCTTCCAGGGTCGTTTTCCTCTGAAGATTCTGCTCCTTTAGAATAGTCTTTTGACTGGATTCCACCCTCTGTAATCAAAACATTGTATATGCAGTTTATGTAAGTACTTCCTATAATACACTGTATACATATATCTACATCTTACTGCATTCATAATTCCTACCAATTTACTTACTCTTGCAGTCATTTGTATATAATTTAGCTGTGTTTATACAGTTTAAAATCAAACACTACATTTAATATAAAAAGAAAAGAAAAGAAAAAAATCAGTGCAAGCACATACTCTATCACAGAATAGCACAGTTCCAACACTGAAGCTAAATACTAATACTGCTAGTGAAAAGTTCAGGATAACTTACCAATTATGTCAGCAACTTTAAGTCCCAACTCCCTTGGGTAAAGCTCTGGATTTATGATTTTATCATTGTGACTCAGAACTATCTGACTAACACCAACACTAAACCTTTCTGCGAGCATCTGGTATACGTGGGAAAACTTCTGCATCTGTAAAGAGGCAATGCATAACAATGGAGAAATAATGTCAAAGTATGCATTGTAAGATGGTATTCTAATATCTACAAAGATAAGATATATCAGGTATGGATACCTTAAAAATGCTGAATTATCATATGATTAAAATTCATTAATTTTCCATTACAGTTCTACATATCATTTCATAAACTTGTGTTATAAATCATACTTTTATTTCATCATTCAATCAGTCATTCTGATTTCAAATTTTAAAATATAGCCAAGACAAAACCTCAAGAAATCCTTGTATAATTACTATTTTTGATCTACTGCAACAAACAAGAATCAAAAAGCAAATGGAATACAAAAATATGTCTTGTCAAATTTACCTTTTTAATGGGTATGCGGAGATATTCAGTCCCCCATCGTACACGCAGATTTATTTCTGTATTTGTGTTGTCGCACTCATCGTCACTCAATACCAAAATATCGCTCATGCCACTCTGGTTCATGCTGTCATTGTTCTGTGAGAAGAAGGGTTAACCCACTAATGCCAGTATATGTATGTAATATCACTGTTGTCTTGTTTGATTTTTTTTACACAGAGATGGCTCCAGTAGTACTTATGGACTAAAGAGTCCATTGCTAAGCCTACCTTAGCTCACCAATTTATTTCAGCCAATGAATTTTTGGAACAAAGAGAGAGCAGAGGGAGGGAGAGAGGAGAGAGAGAGAGAGAGGGAGAGAGGGAGAGAGGGAGTGGGGAGGGAGGGAGGGAGGGAGGGAGGGAGGGAGGAGGGAGGGAGGGAGGGAGGGAGGGAGGGAGGGAGGGAGGGAGGGAGGGAGGGAGGGAGGGAGGGAGGGAGGGAGGGAGGGAGGGAGGGAGGGAGGGAGGGAGGGAGACTGAAACCCATACTTACCTCTTTTTTTGCCATCTCTTCTGCCAAAGCCTTTAGCTCTTTCATGGCTTTCTTTGTTTCGCTATTTCTCTTTAGCATTTTTTTTTTGTGCACTTTAACTTTTGGCAAGGGAGATGGTGACCCCTCCAATGTCTCGTTGCTGCAGAAAAAGCCATCATTAACTTCTTGTCTTTACATCTTCCTTGCATACTATTCCATCTATTTCCTTCTATAACATAAAATCTTTTCCTCCTTTATACTTTATACTGAATCAGATTTTCCAATATGTACAAGTTATTAAAAGAAAGGTATTAAAGAAATGCAAATGGTGCAAATCTTGTGTATACATTTGTGCAAGTAAGAACTGCGCTAAATATTTACAGTTTGAGTGTTTTGGCCCTTATAACCCAGCCACAGTTAAGCATGTTAATCCTCTAACAATACCAAGTATTTGAATATCTATCGTAGACAGCTGGCCACTTCTGCACCCATACTTTTTTGTATATTACAGAAAATACAACAAACATTAAAAGTCTTCAATGATTCACCAACAAGTCTATATAAATATCTATAAGAAAATCTTCCTCATTCCTTCCACTTACCTTGCTTCCTCAATAAGAATGACCTCGTCTTCGACAATGCTCTTCTCATTGATTGGATCGGACAGATCTGCTTGCTCTGAGGACTCGCCTTCTTCTTGTTTCAGTTTTCCCTTTTCATGTTCCTTTTCAGCAGTCATCATTTTCTTTATTTCCTTCATAGCATTATTACGGCAGGCTTATAGGAAATAAATTCATAAATGCATAAACTGGAACTTATGATATTGTATATTTCACCACATGATACAGCATCAACATTTAAACATGTTTATAAAATTTATTATCAATAGGCACTGACTGATAATCCAATTAATACTGAATCAGTACAATTGCATAATACATACTGTAACTATCCAAAAAGAAAAAAGAAAAAATAGAGACAGGAGTGAACATAGGATTTCATTTCATATATACATATATTCCATATATACACACATACCTAAAAGGTAAATATCTATTAATTAATTAAAAAAGGATAAAAAGGTTCACTGGTGACTCACAGTTAAAATCAATTGCGAAAAGGTCGTCACTGGAATTATCACAAGAGATGTCAGGTGAATGATCTATCTTTGGTCTCTTAGCACTAGGTGTAACCTCAACTGGAACCACCTCACAGTCAGATTCTGAATCCGACATAATGCCTCGGCTAACTTGTTTTTCTGGAGAAGGGCTGTTGGATGAATTAATGATAATATAGTATAGAAAAGAAGTTTAAACACTGTAAACACAAAACTAAAAGGAAAAAATGATGAGGGAAATGATGTAATACAAGTTGTTACTGAAAAAAAAGAGAGAAAAAAAAAAAAAAAAAAAAAAAAAAAAAAAAAAAAAAATCCTATCCTCTTTAAATGATGTTTAATCTATTCCTTTATTTTTCAACTGTATCCTAATTCTACATTATCACTTACAATTTCCCTGCAGCTTACCTAGGTGAGAAAAGAGGCTGCTCATCTTCTTTTGGAGGTTCTGGACTTGGGGAAGGTGCATAGTCACTTAAATTGTCTAGTTCATCACTCGAGTAAGTAACATCCAGATTAATCACAACTGGCCTAGGAGCCTGTGTGTTTCTCTTTGGCCTTGCAGATTGCTGTCTTGTGCTGCCTCCTGGGAAATAAAGACAATTGAAAAAGTTGAACAAAAAAAACTATTAAAACCGTCATGGAAAAATCTGGGTCAAGGGCCAGGTGACATGAACATACCATCATCGGACAAAATGGCTGTGGGCTCGGTGATGCGAACTTGCTCTCATGAACAAAGGCCAGGGTGATGGAAAAGACTTGCCACAAGTGCACAAACCTTCTGGAATGTGATTAAACTCTTTTGGCATTCCAAATGGGGCTTTAGCATTATTTCCATCGATAAACGATTGTGGAATGTAAGATTTGTGAGCCCTGACTGGAAGAGCACCAGCTCTAAGGAGAAAACCATTTCCATGCTGCGCATTGTATTCCTGGCTACTGTGACCAGCGGCACAGGTTGTATTACGGGAAATTGAAACATAAAAAAAAAAAAAAAAAAAAAAAAGGCAAATAACCAATTTTTTTTTTTTTTTTTTTTGGGGGGGGGGGTAATCTTTCCAGTATGAATGCACTAAGTTGGGACAAATTGAATATGATACTCTTGCAAAGGATAAAAAGTTTCAGTCATTGGTACAAGAAATAATCTGCAGACATGAATGGTACGGGCAAAAATAAAGGAAGACTATCTCTGAAAGCACCGCTCTCAGTCTATATCCACTCGATGCTGCTGAGTTTCAACCTTTCCGTGCATAATGAGGTGAAGACAATATTTCCCGGGGGGTGTTGGGGGGGAGAGTACACAACCAAACCTCCAATCGGGCAGTGCCCAAAGGGCACACCTAGTTAGAGCAACTTAGATTGATATATAAATTTTTTGACATGGAGTTGGGGACTTAGTCTAAGGCGAGTGTGTCCATGCTGTAAAGAAATACCCTTTTTTTTTTTCTTGCACTGAGTTATTTACTACATAGAGTGATGATATGGAGTCTATGCAAGGAAAATAAGCTATTACCATCTGGATAAAGCAAATCAAAAAACAAATATGAACACTGGAAAATGGTAAAACAGCTAAAAAAATTATGCTAAATAACTTTGAAAAGGGGAGGCACAAAGTTTTGTCACTGATCATGTGTTAATGTGTGTCCAGCCCACATGCTGCACACCCAGGATATTGGCCCCTTACATAACCCACTGCGGTATACCCCCACTGCCCGTATTGTTGGCACTGTGATTTCCGTGACACAAATGGATCCAATCGGTTAATAAACTACTTACCAAAACTCTCCTATTTTTTACTATAAGCGTTCTACCTTAGCAAAGGTGGATAAATTCACTAATCTTATTCTAAACTATTTGATAAATGCTTGCACAACACTTTCTTGTAGCTCTACTGGCTGTGTTCTATCCACATATACTTGAAACATTTTGATTTGAGATGGAAGACTTACAGCTGAAGCCTTTGGCACTCTGGCCTATAAGAAAAAACAGCCACAATGTACTATTTTGCAGGGTAAAGCTTGGGTTGGTTACATATTTGATGATAAGCTGTCAGGGAAGCGAATAACATTCCATCTTGCCAGAATATTTGTGGTGCAAGTCTGCTTTACTTTTCCAGACCACTGACTTCACAGAAACAAGTGGCGGAGGCGGAACTAGGATGCGTATGCAATTTGCAGACAGGGATTGTTCAGTAAACATTTACCGTTGATTTTGGGTTTGCGGTTATATCTGAACACCTAAAAAGGTACTGCTAAAAAAGGAGGCTAGGGTAAGACCATAGAATAAAAGAAAGACCTTTAACTTACCCCTTCTACCAGCTGTCGTCCCTCCAGATCTACCTCGAGCGCGCGGCATTTGATTTCGTCTTCAATTTACACACTTCTAATCAATGTAACAATAAAATGGTAACGTTGAATTGGAAGTTTATTAGCCTCCGTTGTATCTATTAAAGTTGCAGAATGAGCCAAAGGAAGATAATGATAAAACTACTTGAAGATGCTGGCACGGGTCCTTATCTTCTTCAAAGGAAAGGAGGTAAATAAATACGTTCGTGAATGGACGAATCCGGATTCAAGGTTTAAAAACGTTCGCCTAAAACGAATGCGAATGCAAACGCGAAAATTCATTGGCTCGAATACGAAAATCAAATATGAAATATTCTCCCTGTACTCAGTTTTAGGAAGAAGGACCCTCACATTCATTTCAAAATGGTAAATAGATATGTAAGGGTCGATTTTTAACCAAATCTTGAAAATTGTTGGCTTATGTTTACCCTTTACATTCTATTTTTTTTCGACCAAAAATTGTATCATACAAGTCTCAAGCGTTCGATTTTTACAGTTTTTTTTTCTGTTCGATGAAACAAAGATGGAAAAGCGGTCGCGAACAGTCCGTATGCACAGTATTACAATTTGCCTAATCCTATATTCGCAGGGCAAGAAATTGGGGTCTGAGATAAATAATGCCAAAAATTTATAAACAATAATATGCCGCAATAGGGCACTATTGTGTATGCCCATTACTTGTTGATAATTGATAGTTGGCAACTTTGCAACTTTCACGCTGTACTGTCATAAAAGGTTCTTGTCGCGTTTGCAACTTTGTGGCGAGGCGAGCCGCGCTCAAGGTCGTAGTCCTCACCCCGCGCTGAGCAGGCTGGGTGAAGCCCCGGCTCCTTCTCCTAAATCTCTTTTCCTCCTCCTTATCCTTCCTCTATCCCCACTCTTCATCCCCCTCCCCCCTTTTCCTCCGATTTCGATTTCGTTTGCCAAATGAGATTGATATGCAAATATATATAAATACATACCTACATATATATACGTACATACATACATACATACTATATATATATATATATATATATATATATATATATATAATATATAATATATATATATATATATATATATATACAGACATGATGTATATAAGCATCAATACATAATTTTAAAAGATGAATTTATCTCTGCACACTCATCTAAAACGAAACTGAGTAACCCAGCCTATCTCAAGTCTGCATAGGTTAGGACATACATACAAACAAAACCCCGTCTGAGGAATTAAAGTTATCAAAAATGCAGAGAACATTAAATTCCAACATCAATTAGTTACTCATTTTGCTATTCTACTGGGAAATTCAAAGTAAAAGAGACTGTAAAACACAAACTATTCGACTGACCTTCCGCATTATGAGAAAAACACGGGATTCATCTGATGGAATAACCGTCCCAGCTTGTTCACTCAGCTGAAATTGGGTGAGCCTTATGGTATCTAGTATATACTCCCCCCAAAAAATCAATTATAACAATCAGTAAAATGTTCTCTGCAGCCAAAACCTGTTAAGGAGGGTTATATGGAGTCAGATCAAATGAAGACTATCCTACACCTTTTAGTGATATCGGGGATAGGCCTATGTTCTTCATATCCCATTTATAAGCTGAAATACGCAACAGAATCGAAGAATAAGCGGATTAAAGAATAAAAAATATTTAATATATATGTTTTACTCTATACCTCTATAGGGGAATAGGAGAAATAAACTAAGGATCTAACATACAGCAGAAGAAAGAAAAGTGGATTGCAATAGAGAAGATTGAGCTGTTTGGGATCCGTGTAAAGACTATAGGGTTAGCTTACCAGAGCCAGACTGCAGACTTTGGTCAAATTGTTGGGTAAAATTCTGTCCGCGCAAATGCAGTTCTCGGGTAACTTTCCGCGCACGCTTAGTTCTTTTTTGAATCCCTATTCCGCGCATAAAATTCTTTTGACCTTTCCGCACACTTGTTCCATCATCCGTCCATAGATCCGCCCGTCCAAATGTAGACAAAATGATGTTTTCCGCGCATGAAAAAATTTAATATTCCCCGCGCAAGAAAAATACTCTACAGTCTGGTAACAAAGCAACGCTAGCTAAACAAGGACCTTGTGGATTTACTAGTATTTGTAAACAAAATTACAAACGAAAAAACTTAGGTAGAAAAAATCCTGCATGGACATCATGAAAAAAACACTTAATTAAGCCAAGTGTAATCCCATACGAAAGGAAATGAA